CTCCCCCCCCNCCCCCCCCCCCCTCTTCTCTACAACGTGCTAATTGACGTTCTTTCTCGCTAAGCGTGAAATAGACACCCCTATAATTGTTTCCATCCCCTTTCCCTCCTCATGTGTCGGTGACACCTTTTGGATTCCTTCTTTCCTTTGGCCTCTTTTGTGTGAATCTATGGGTTCCTCCTTATCGATCTTTCCCCCCTCCCCCCCCCCCCCTCTCAAGCTGATCTTTTCTTGTGGTGTCTTATTTTCTTCCCTTCGAGTGGTCTCTTCGCTTGCGAAGCACTAAATCAAATCAAAAACATCCTCCACCTTAACTGAACTCATGGGCTGTGCGGTTTGTCGTCCGGGGCATGATTTGCCCTACGCGAAGCCGTCGCGCGCGCCGCCGGATCCGTCGCTTTTCCCGAATTACCTCCAAAACGAGAAGGGTTTGTGGCTGCGTTCGACGGAATGGTGGCCACGCACGGAGGTTCAGGCAACGGTGTTTATTGTTTCTGGCCTCGGCGAGCACGCGAATCGCTACGATTCCATCGCGCGGCGTCTTAACGAGGAGGGGTTCGCCTGCTTCTCCGTTGATAACCAGGGCGCGGGCGGGAGTGAGGGGCTCCGACTCTACGTCGAGCGCTTCTCGCATTTCGTAGATAACATTCTGCTCTACGTGCGGCATATCCACGAAAGGTATCCAGAGCTCCGGGAGACCCCGCAGATCCTCCTCGGGCATTCGATGGGGGGGCTGATCTCCTTCCTCGTCGCGCTGCGCGAGCCGAAGCTTTTCAAGGCCACCGTGCTCAGCGGCCCGGCCTTTGCGGCGGTCGACAGTCCGTCTCCAGGGAGTTGCAAGCGGAAGATGCTCGATTTTCTATCCAGAACGATCCCGAAGTTGGAAATCGCGAAACTGAACGCGGAGCTTGTGAGCTATAATAAACCGGTTGTGGAGTTGGTGAGGCAGGATCCATATTACACAAACGTCAAGCTGCGCGCGCGCTTCCTGGCGGAGTTTTTAGAGGCCCAAGAATTCGCCCTTGCGGAGGTGAAGCGTCTGAAAACCCCCTTCCCGCTTCTAATCGTGTTTGGGGAGGACGATAAGCTATGCAATCTGGAGCGTGCACGTGAAATTTTCAGACTTTTCCCATCCGAAACTAAAGAGATGCGCACCTATCCTTACGCCGGACATGAGGTGCTCACAGAGGTGGATCGGGAGGCTATACTGAATGATGTAGTTACCTTCATCAAGAAGCATTACCGGGAGTCGTAATCTTGGCTCTTAAAAAAAATATTTTTGCTATTATTCCTCACATATATGCATATAGATATAAGTGGGACAACTTGTTTCTATATAATGTGATTGAATTGGGTTCATTTTATTTCTTTGCTGATTAATAGTGAGAATAATATACATCTTCTGAGAATAAAAACGTATTTTTGATGTATTCTTTTATGAGGACCTGTGTGGAGGATATATAAGATGAGCTAGGGCTATCTCAGTTAGCCTTTGTTTATTCGTAAAAGTATATTCAATGATACTTTTTTTTATTGCTGTTATTGAGGGGATAGGTATTTTTTTGTGTGTGCCTACTCTAGCCGCCTTATTCTTCACACAAAGAGCTATTTTTGTAGAGAAATCGTTTCTTTTTTACATTTCAATGGAGATCGGGACAAACACATTTAACAAAATAAGTATTTCAAGTAAGGAACTTGACGAGTCGCTAAATATTTGCTATTGCAGTATTATCTATGATTTAAGTATATTTTCACGAATCGTCCTAAATGGGTGCGGTTCCCCAAAAATTATTCGTAACAAAAATTATCATCAGTACGCGCACGAAATTATATCTTTGAATGAGGTTTAAATGGCATGGTTTATTAGCAAATGAGGATTTTTCTATACATTTATATGTACTCATGAGAGATTTAATAATAAAAAATATGGAAAAAGATTGACTGTAATAACTTTGCTTCCTTCATTGTCATTTCTGATAAGTATTCACTTTTTTATCCGTGTAGCAATCATATTGAAAAATCTTATTCTTTTCACCACAATGTTAGTTTTTTCTTCTACTGTGTGTGTTTGATGTTCGAGTAGATTCTCAATTCAACCACCTGCCAGGTGAAGGACTTTTTAAGTGCGCACATTAGCTTACGCCGATATTCGCTCGCTCTGACGTTGCAGCTAAAGTTACTCATGATCATCGGAATGGTGGAGCAGCAGTAACCTTTACATTCCTCATGATTCGCCAAAAGGAGTGGTGTATATTCGGAGTATTAAATGTGATGTTATTCAGTTCACAAGGTTGCGGACAACGTAATTAGATGAGAAGCGGGAGATGAGGGTCTCTCTTTTTGCTCCTTCCTGATACGCGAGAACATGCATTCGTGAGGCACAAATGGAAAGAAAAACAGGGTAGATATTCGCACTCCTTTCAATTTTAAAATGCATATTTTTCTTTCAAATGAAATAAAAAGGCACTGAATGGGAAAAGGTACTTGTATGCGGGAAACTCATTCTCGGGGATAGCTCATAGATGTCTTTTTTTAATCTATCATCGATCCTGATGCTTATCAAGCGTATATTTGGGCAAGTGCTTTGCATATTTATATATATGTATCTATATGTCTATGTGCATATATAGGCTTCATGTTGCCCCTGACCCTCACAACAAGGCGTTATCAGCGCAGCAGGGTACTGACGCGGACCTTTGTTAACGTTCACAACATTTTGTTCTAATGAACTGTCCTTCGCTTTCATTGTCATAATTAGCTTTAGATGGGATCCCTTCGTAATTGGTGGCACTTGAAAGTTCCGTTCTCTTGAGAAACAACTCCATTTATTGAAAAAGGATGACAACACTCTAGGGGGAGGGATATTCAAATTGCATTTGTAATTGTAGGTACGCCGCTTTGGGGTTAGATGGCGACGAATCATACTGAAGTACACTGTTGCTGTACTTTATGTTAATTTTCAATTTCGATGTGCCACATATCAAAATTCCTATTATTTATCTTTTCATTTCTCTCTATCACATATTACAGAGTTTAAATCAAAAAACTTTTAACGCTTCCCTTTCTACTAGTGCGTTTGAATTTTCGTTATCATCAAATCCGCGATCACGTAGACAAAAATCTTCTATTTAAGCTTTCATCTTATTGAGACCGTGCGAAACTTAAAAAAAAAGATAGAGAAAAAAAGAAAAGAGAAAAGGGTTTTAATCCATGAGAAGTCTTCCGTATCACGTTCGCCCAGGTAAGGTTACCATCTTTGCTTTCTGCTTCGTTTTGCTCTGCTGTGGCCTTTTTACTCCGAAGAGCGGCGCTCTCCAAACGGATATCTTAGCGCGCGAGCTTTTTAGCATCACGGAGGAGGTTCCGCCAGAAACCTCCATTGAGTTCTACTTCGAGTTGCATAATGGAGCAGCAATGGATGTGAGGGTTGTCGATGATAAGAACAACGACTTGAAATACTGGGAAGATGGTAGCGAAGGTACATTGCGGATAGACGCGGGTGAGATGGCCAAAACGTTTACCGTGATCTTCGACAATAGGGCATCGCGCTTTTCGGGAAAATTGGTAACTTTTCACTTCCGTGAGTACATCAATAGGCAAAATAAATTTGACATCTCACAACTGGATCCCATTGAGGCCGGCGTGGAGTTGATGTCTGAAACAATTGACAATATGTTCAAGTATCAGTTAGCGTTGCGCAATCAACAAAGGCTTCATCGTGAGACCATTGAGACTTCTAACACGAGAGTGCTGATGTGGGCAATTTTCCAAATCGTAGCACTGATTATCATGTCCTTTTCCCAAATATTTTTCTTAAAGCGCTTTCTTGAAAGGAAAACGGTCATTTGATTTCGGTGAATGTATTATGAGCGTAAAAACAGGATATGATTTAGCGAAAAGGAAAGAATTGAGGTGCAATTTACTAGTATTCGAAGATCTAATTGAATTCACTTGTCTATCAAAGATCTGTGGAGGCTTATTTGGGTCATTTAGATTCTTGTAGGATCACATTTTTTTCGAGTAGAAAACAAAGATAATGCCGTTAAACGATGAAATTACTTTTATGAGTGCGTCAGTGCGAAATAGTATTTATATATGTCAATAAAAAATGGATATTCAATTGTTGTAATGTCATATCTGAGTGCTATTGTTCGTGGTATCCTTTTCTGCATACCAATTTTTCCTTTGCTTTTGGCCTCTATGATTTTTACAGATTTTTACCCAACATTGGTATTATTAATTTTTCCTACACTTTTC